TTTCTGTTTCATGCCTGGAATTTGCTCCAGGCATGGTTAGAATATTCCTTTACCCGAGGGTCGGGTATGTCCCTAAGGTGCCCGCTTCTTCGCCAGGGCCCATAGTACTTCAGGCATTCTGTCCTCCTCTGTTCCAGGAAGTAGGCCAAGAAAGGCTTAATCTGCTCTGTCCAGTTAGAGCACTGGACGCTTATGCACACAGAGCTGCCCCGTGGCGTTAGGCAGATCAGCTGTCTGTTTGCTTTGGTCCGCCAAAGAAAGGATCAAGCAGACTATGAGTAGGTGGGTGGTTGAGGCCATCTCACTAGCCTACGAGTCCTCTGGCCTCCCATCACCTATGGGGGTCAGAGCTCACTCGACCAGGAGTATGGCGGCCTCCAAGGCTTTCAACTTGGGTGTGGCCTTGCAGGACATTTGTGCTGCGGCAGGCTGGTCCTTTCCGCACACTTTTGCAACCTACACCTGGCATCTACCCCAGGTTCCCAAGTTCTCTCTTCGTGATGTGCTCATCTGATACACACACAGGCAGGGACTTGGTAGTATGGCGCAGTGGGTATTCTCGTTCCCAAAGCGAATCTCGACGCAGCTCGAGTTCCTGAAGAGGAACATCTCTAGGTTACGTATGTAACCATGGTTCCCCGAGGGAAAAAGACGCTAAATTGGCATTCTGTTTTCTCATGAAGTATGCATACTATACTAAGGTACTGTGGGGAAAAAAATGCTAACGATTGTTTATAAAATTCTTTTAGGACTGTGAATATACCACTCTTACAGGAAGGAGACGCTTGTTCTGTTTTCAACTCCATTCAGAATCTTAGAACAAGTGTGCATTCACTATTTTACAGATGTTACTTTCATTTGATTTATTTACTCTATGGTAAACTATGCTTGCTATGTTGTAATTGTATTCTTTGTTTCGATAAATTGTTACTAGTATCAGTGAACATCACAATAATGTTAATAATGTAGTTTGTGTAAACAGCATGCTTACTTTTTAATTTCAGATGTGAGAATAACAGTGTAAAAGAACTTGTTGCAAAGAGAGCCAAAGCAAAGCAGCCCACTCGCTCATGAAAAACAGAGACTGTTGTTGACATGTTCCACAGGCTCTGAGAATTTTCTGTAAAGCTGCTTTGAAAAGATGTGTATTGTAAAAAGCGCTATACAAATACATTTGAATTGAATTCTTCAGGAAAAAAAAACAATGTTTCCATTTAGGTGAAAAACCTGACGCAGGAGATGGCCTCTCAGGATGAGCGCATTGCCAAGATGACCAAAGAGAATGACAAACAGCAATCAGATAAGAAGATCAAAAAGTGAGTGGTTATCAGATTTTGAACTTTCCACAATTACATGATCCAAACCATTGTATAGATGGTAGACTGTTTAAAAAACGAAAATATGCTGCCTTATAGGCCAAGAATGCTCTGGCCCATGCGTAAGGAAAACAATTACACATGAAAATACAATAAAGATTAGTGAAATGCAGTAAAAAAAATTCAAACAAAATCATAGAAACATATACACTTCTTCTGGTTTCTTAGTGTAACGCAATGAAAAACTTTGTGGTTTATATCTCACAATGGTGTGACGAGGTCTAGAACAGTAGTGCCGTTAAACATATGGATAAAAGCAAGATATCTAGCAATTTTAGGTATACTTACCAGGGCTTGGTCTGGTGTGTGAAAGAGTTAGAACAAGCATTTGTGTAGGTGTTGTTAGGCTATATTAAATTTACTTACTGTCACTATAAAGATTTGTATGTTTATATTAATTTCAAAGTATTTATGAACACTGTTACCGACTTTGACTTTCAATGCAATATTTTATTAAAAAATTAAAAGAGGACTGTTTGAGTAACACTCTTTACTCACTCTTGCACCCGGAACCTGTAACTCATATCATAATTATTATATATAAGCATCATGCCTGACACCTTAGTAAATAACTAAAGACTAAAACTAATATTTAAGCTAAACAAACATTTACAGTTGTGACAAATTCAGAGATGTTACACAATTTTGGTATTCTGCTGTTGAGAGAAAACAATTACCACATGACAATGAACTGTTGTATTGGTGCCATTTTTCTGGATCAAATCTAAAACACAATGACTAACTAAAATGGTTGGAATCATCTGGCCTTTCGCTTAAAATAACTGTGGTTTATTTATTGAAGTCACGTTTAGAGACACGTACAGAGAAAATAGTGCATCCATGACAGCCACGACTTGTAATGTGTAACTTTGTGTTTTAAATTTAATGGATGTACATGTAACAGAAAAATAGCAAAATTCAATTCCAGAGTTTGGGAGCCAAATGCGAAAAAGCTCTACCTCCTTTAGTGGACTTTGCTATCCTAGGTATTACCAAAAGTCCAGAGTTTTGCAACCTCAGGGAGCGTGATGGATTGTAGCATGATTGAAGACTAGTTAGGTATGCAGGAGCTAACCCATTAAGGGCCTTACAGGCAAGTAATAATATTTTGTAACTGATACAGAACTTAATAGGTAGCCAGTGCAGAGACTGTAAACTTGGGGTAATATGATCATATTTTTTTGACCTGGTAAGGACTCTAGAAACATGTCCTAAAAGTAGATAACAGTTTTAGTTTAAACACTCTCTCAAGAACAACTTTCATTTGATTTCCTTATACTGTATTTGATCATGTTTTCATGAATTCCAATGAACACACAGTTGAGGATTAGTGTGAATTTACAGTGTTTTGATGACCGCATCCAGAGAGGAGTCTTCAGCTAAAACAAATGCAACCAAATAAAGAAATGTGAATGGTGTCATCTGCTATCTGAACAAAATGACTAAATCTAGTGGAGAAAAGAAAAGGTCATTTAAAACAATATTTACAAAAATATTTTCTGTATTCATTAGAAACTATACTTTTCTTGTAAGCTATACTCTATTTTCTTAGTGATTTGGTCCCTTGAGTTACATAAGGGTTTTGTGCACGCATAATTCCTGTTCAAAGATTATGATGGAAATGTATCTATAGCTTTTCAAGAGCGTGGAACATCCTCAAACTTTAATGAATGCGTATACAGTAAAATCCTGAGTGTTAAATTAACACTGCTCGGAGCATATATGGTCCCACTCTAAAAGAGTGTTAAAGTAACACTGAAGCAGTGTTAAAGTTAATGAGATAGTTATGTGATTAATTAAGTGCTGATTGATCATTAGTAATGAACACCTGATGTCAACAAGCAGAATCACTGAAGAAAAGAGAAACACAAGAACTACAACAGACTTCAGCCACAGCCTTAGATTAAATCAACTGAAATAAAAGAAGAAATTAAATCTCTCAAGATCTCAGCAGAAGATAATTAAACAACTCCACAAACAACATCACCAGCTTCACAAATTACTAGCCAGTTTAACTTTTTTTTGTCATGCATCAAAAAAATGTCTTATTAAGAATTAACAGAGGTTTAGATGTTAATGTTTGAAGTCACCATTGTGTAGATACATGTTTGCTTTAGTTAGGCTCTTGACCCTTGACTTTCTAACATTCGTTTTTTTTTCTCTGGTTGCTGTAACTGTGTTTATGAAACACGTTTGTTATGGCAAGAGAAAATGTGATCAAGTAATATTGGCCGTTTTTTTGATAATGCTGTAGATATCATGTATGGCCTGATTCACTGACATCATGTGTAATTTAGTTTTTTTTATGGATTATAACTGCGTTTTATTGAAATAATATGAAGAACTTGCTGATTGTTCATGTCTATTAATGACAGAATTGAAACCTTTTTGTGAGCCATATTTCTAAAAGTGCTTTATCAATTTTTCTCACATTCTCATATCATAGAACTGCAATAATACAGAAATCATAAAACCACTACATATTTTGATAAAATGCAATCAGAAACTCAGACGCATGAAATGATTTTATCATAAGTTCCTTGCCATCACATATGTGCTTTATAAACACAATTGTAACAGCCAAAGAGACACTTATATTTAATAAGTCAAGGGTCAAGAGGCAACTAAAGCAAACACTATTCACCAGAACGGTAAGTTGAAAAAAAAACTAAACCTTAATTCTCAATAAAGAACTTCTGTTTTAGATACTCCAGAAATAAAGTCAAACTGGTTCATAATGCATGAAGTTGGTGATACTGTTTGTGGAGTTGTTTAATTATCTTCTGCTGAGATCTTGAGAGATTTAATGTCTTTTATTTAACTTGATTTCATCTAAGGCTGTGGCTGAAGTCAGCTGTAGTTCTTGTGTTTCTCTTTTCTTCAGTGATTCTGCTTGTTGACATCAGGTGTTCATTACTAATGATCAATCAGCACTTAATTAATCACATAACTATCTCATTAACTTTAATGCTGCTTCAGCGTTACTTTAACACTCTTTTAGACCATACAGTATATGCTCCGAGCAGTGTTAATTTAACACTTAGGATTTTACTGTGTAGCTTTCAGTGCAATGGTTAGATACAGTATGTTTCAGTTGTAATAGTTGTAAGTGTAAAACAGCCAGACTTACTTTTCATGTTGACGGTTCATCGTATGGATATGGAGATGGTTAATTGTCCTAAAATCAATAAAAATTTAGTCAAACACTCTCAAGTAAAAATGTTCTTAATTTTCATTTATTTCTATAAACACCGAATGCTGATGGCTCTCAAAGAGAAGTACTCACCTTAAGACATATATAGTCCGACAAACAAAATGTGAACAGTGTCATCCGTAATCCTGATCATCTGTAAAATGCCAGTCACAATAAATCAAGAGGGATTTTCTTTATTCTCTATGCATTATGGCACTTTTCTTATAGGCCTCTTGAATTTACATGTGCATTTTGTACTCACATAATTCAGATGAAGATTATGTTTGGATATTATCTTTGGGGTCTGACAGTATATGCTCCGAGCAGTGTTAATTTAACACTTAGGATTTTACTGTGTAGCTTTCAGTGCAATGGTTAGATACAGTATGTTTCAGTTGTAATAGTTGTAAGTGTAAAACAGCCAGACTTACTTTTCATGTTGACGGTTCATCGTATGGATATGGAGATGGTTAATTGTCCTAAAATCAATAAAAATTTAGTCAAACACTCTCAAGTAAAAATGTTCTTAATTTTCATTTATTTCTATAAACACCGAATGCTGACGGCTCTCAAAGAGAAGTACTCACCTTAAGACATATATAGTCCGACAAACAAAATGTGAACAGTGTCATCCGTAATCCTGATCATCTGTAAAATGCCAGTCACAATAAATCAAGAGGGATTTTCTTTATTCTCTATGCATTATGGCACTTTTCTTATAGGCCTCTTGAATTTACATGTGCATTTTGTACTCCAATAATTCAGATGAAGATTATGTTTGGATATTATCTTTGGGGTCTGTATTGGGGAAAATCATGGACGATAATGTTTATTCTATATCTATTTATTTGAGTCAAAAATAATAACCTAAGGAAATGGTAATAAACAGTTGAAAGAAGCTCAGCTGATACGACTCTTTATATGACACTTCATGTTGTATGTTGCAAATCTGGATTCTGATGCATCTAAAGCATTAGAAAAGCCTTTTATAGAAGACATGAAACCATGGCACTCATGCAAAAATATTGTATAATACATGTTGAAGCGTACTCACATGTTCCTTTCTTTTTTAGTATGGAGCTTTGTATGGATACCTGGATATCACCTTTAAAAACATATTAACATAAAACATTTGTAACCCATACTGGTTTTAACAGTGAAACTGGAATTAAGACATGTAGGCCTACTCAGTGAATGTTAAACACCCCATGGAAAAGAATTTGAAATGAATAATTTTGAAAGAAAAGCGATGTGTTATCTGTTGTAGTTCAAATTTGTCTGACAAAAGTGGCATTAATTCGTTGTAGAAATAAGAAAAGTAAAATCATATACATCATATACATATACACAGTCATATACACAAGACATGCTCCACCTAAAAATGTCAGTTTAAAAGTAACATATTGTAAACTAGGTTTTAACAGTGCAGGTATTTTCTACCACATGACATCATCAGTCTGATGTGGTTGGGAGATTTGTGCGCTTTTTCATTTAGCTTAATCTTTGCCTTTAAATGCAATTAAATATTCTCAGGAGACCCACTGTCCCCCAGAAGTCGCACCTTATGAATACCTCACGTGTGTTGTTTCATTCAAGTGTAGTTCACTACTCCGAAAATCAGTGGGTATCCAAAGAATGCGTATCATGTTGACATGGGTTGCATTTGGAAAGTCTTTTCTCATATCTGTAGCTGCCATGTGCCCTGACATGTTGTTGTTTAAACAAACTTTTTAAATGAACCAGAACGTTATGAGTGCAAAGGTCAGGCTCCTGCTAGTGACATCAGCTCTTTCTTCAAAGACTGTTCATGTGACCAGCAGACAAACCGTTACATCAACATATGGTAACTTTCTACATATATTTTGAGTAGATAACAAATAGTATATTTTCAGTGAAGGATATGTTTGCTGTTACTGTTACTATATGGAGACGTACATCTAAACCCCGGGCCGACAAAAGCTGGTTTGAGCATTCCTGTGCCACATGGACTCCTGGGAGAAATTTAAACCCTGGGCCGGCAACTGAACACTTGGACTTGTTGATGGTATACAACACCAAGCGAAGGTTTTGCAGCAGGGGAGCTTAGGGGTTGGACTCAAGTCTACATCCTGCGATTGTGAAACAGCATCAGATCAATCTCTTTAAAACTGTAAATCATGCAGGGATTTTATGGGACAGCGATGCAAAACCAAAAGGTCTGTTGGGTTGTCATTTGAATATTCACAACATTATGGCAAAGATTGATGAAATGAAACATCTTGTAATTAATTCAAATTTAGATTTTTTATGCTTATCTGAAACATGGTTGAATACTACTTCGCCATCAGCAATGTTACATATTCCTGGCTAAAATATTTTTAGAAGAGATAGTGTAACGAATCAGCTCATGAGGAAATATGAATAATTAACCATAACTAGTTTTAATTAATTATTCATATTTTAGATCCGCTGTAGATATTTAGCTGACCTCTCAGGGTCAACTGTCTTGTCAATTCTAAGAACGTTCATTTCCTGGTTAAGGGAAATAACTTCCTTACTGTACAATTCTACAAAAGCTTGTAGCATAAATCTGCATGATTAAGTGACTCCAGTTATAAGCAAACAATGAACCACGTCAAGTGTGATACAAGTAAGGTTTTATTAACTACATAAACTTTTAAACTAGTCTAACACTACATAAACACATAAACTGGTCTAACATCCTACATAAACAC